AAAAAAATGGATGGATGTATAGCGTTTTGAATAAATAAATAAAATTAACTTTTAATTTATCATTAACAATATTGTTGTTTGATTTAATAATCATTGTTCAAAATGTTCAGACTGAACCAATAAAACATTTCAACAGGATAATTTGATTATTCACAAAATGTGTGGGTCTAGGTAAAAAAATGTAGTTTTCCTGAAAACTATTGAAATGGATTTATAGCGTTTTGGAAAAGAGCTCTTCATATGCCCTCGATGTGCACTTTTGCACCCACACTGTCGAAAAGAACTGTGCTGTCGAGCTTGCATCAGTCAAAGCAGGGTTACGTTTTGCATTTCATGCACAATAACCCTCAAAGCACCATGGTGGCAGTGCCACCAGCAGGGGTCAAATAAAATATAAATGGTACATTCAAGTTAAAAGTTACAACTGAATGTTGAAACTATTGTGTTTCTACATATGATGTACAGGTCAGGTATAAAGAATATTTTTGCTCAGGTGGTGAAAAATAGAAAAAAGAAAAAAATTAGAGGGAACATTGAACTGTGTTCACGATCATAGGCCCTGTCCTTAATGGCACACTTCATATGAATTTTCAGTCTTGTGTACTTATGTGATGTGTCCGTTAAATCCATGATATATGTAGGGTGTCTCATTTTTCATTTTAGGTTTCAGAAGGTTGCTCACGCATACATTGTGGTTGATATGTGCCCTCGATTCGCACTTTTACAGAGCCCACACTGATGTAAGCTCTACGACACACTTCTTTTCAACAGTCAAAGCAGTGTTACGTTTGTGCACAATAACCTTAAAGGCACCAGGGTGACGGTGCCTCAGGCTTTATATATATATAAATATAGCTGCGAGCAGCGATTGCGGGCCAAAGGCAGTGGTACCGCCACCCCAGTGCCCGGCACCACCGGCTCCCGCTTCCTCTCCCCCTCCCTCTTATTTCCGTCAATACCATAGGGTCCATACAACCAACGTGACATGCGACAAGCGGGAGCCGGTAAGAGGACTTTTCACGAGTGAAGGTATTATTGCGCCAAGTTGAAGTGCTCTAAAGCACTTTTTTATGGTATTCCGCCATACAATATAGTCATCAATTTTAAACGCTTAGAAAAACACAACGTTTTATTTTGTGTCACCAGCCTAGGTCGAGTTACACTAATCGAGTAACTGTGTTTAAATAGGGAAAACGAGGAAGTGTTTGGAAGTCTTCTCTTTTTTGCCCATATTTAATGCACTGGGCTAAGCTAAGTGCTAAAATAGTTTTGCGGCAATACAGAGCGATAGAGTGCACGCACTGAGACGAGAGAGGTATGTATCAACAAGTCAAGTCAAGTCACATTTATTTATATAGCGCTTTTCACAATACAGATTGTATCAAAGCAGCTTCACAGTGATAACATGAGTAGTACAACAGAGATCAATAATATTGTTAAATATTAACTAACCCCGACTAAGCAAGCCAAAAGCAAGGCGACAGTGGCAAGGAACCAAAACTCCATCAGATTGGATGGAAAAAAAACCTTGGGAGAACCCAGGCTCAGTCGGGGGCCAGTTCTCCTCTGGCTTACATTCATATTGTTTATATATAAATATTAAATATAAATATTGTTTATATATAAAACGGCGCCATAACATATCGCCAGCGTTGAGTCGTCTCTTCAAAGGCGTTGGTCTTCTCATCACAGGCGTTGGGGCATCCGAAATCCCTGTGAGAGGCTGGATACAAAACTGGACCTGACGAACGCCATTTTTCTCGGGACAAGCGTCCCAAGATAACAGCATAAAGGCAGATGGGAAATAATTAACATAGTATCAACTCGTCTTAGTTAAGGGAATAACATAGTTTAATATGAAAACCCAGTGGAGTATCCCTTTAAGGACCCAGAACCACATGATAAAAGAAGACCAGGGGTCTCATTTATAAAACTGTGTGTAGGATCCTTACTAAAAGCGTACATGCACCCGAAAGCCAAAAATGGCATTCGCCAAAAAATATTCAGATTTATAAAACCGTTCGTACGCCAGAACCTGTGCAGAATTCACTTTATAATTCCCAGTAAGCTGAAGATTGTGCGCACATGCGTTATAGAAAGATTTTCTCAGTCTTTTTCACTGGCCAAATAGTATTTTTAATGAATTTATATTTTTAATGGAAACAGATAGACATGGTTGTGCATTATTTGCATGGAACTTTTTTTCAGACAATCTGCTATTAGCAATTATCTCTAGTTAAAATATTAAAACGCAGCATGCCAGAGGGAAAGTGTTCAAAAGCATTGCATCCACAACAAATATATATTTCTATTTATTGAATATAATTTTTTTGTAACTTCTCAGTAATGATTTCATGTAGTTTAAGTTTTTAACTCCATTATTGAGAAAGGAATATTTAATCTAAATGTTTATATCAGAAGTAAAACATAGTTTAAATAATTGTTTCATTTGTTTAAACTGTTATTGAGAACATGCACTGCATTTATTAGGAATCATGAAGATTTATGGTTTTACTTCATCTGCCGTTAGATTAAAGGCTATATGTGCGTCAGTTTCACTAAATGGCCCAACGCACTTGCTGCCATGGACACTTAAGAAGGGATATGGCTTCAAGTTATAGGCTTGGTGAATGAAATTATATTTGTAGGCTATTATCTTTCTGTAGCCTATTGGCTATAATTTTCTTTAGATTTTCGGTCTAAAAGTGAGCAAAAAGACATTTAACTCCAGCTGTGCGTACGCATGGCTCAATGTTTGCTTAAAGGTGCGCACATTCACACACGCACGTTTGCACGAGCTGTTCATAACCGAAGGAGCATCAGCCGCACACCGTCTGTGCGGCACAGATCTTTTGTTACAGTCATAATGAGGTAATACAGTTATAAATCTGCAAGTCATTTAAAATATATGAAAGGAAAGGCATTCGAGTAAATTATGTGTGTGAGAGGGGGAAACGGGGGTAAAACTTCGGTTTTTATTTCCATCTATCTCCATGTGCTTACTGTATCCACTGATTGAATTATTATGGAAACACGTTCAGTTATCACTTTGTATAGGACCCGTTTGAGCCCTAGAGCAGACCGGAGATCTCTCCGTTTGTTGAAAGCTTCCCGATGTTGACTCTCGTCTTATTCCGACGCCTGGCACTGGACAGACAGAAGTTGTATTTTCTTTGTCTCACTTGGAGTTTGCGTTGGGGTTTGTAATGAACTACAAGCCGGTCTCTTTCCGCGCCACATACAGATTTAATAAAGTGCACGTCACCGAAAGCAACAGATGAGCTGCATTTTATTAATCATCGGCTAATTTCAAAATCAGCAAAGATAGCAATAAGAGAGAGCGGCAACAGTCCTGGTAAGATCATTTCATTTCTTTACTTTTAATTAAGATGGTAACGTTAGTTTTAAGCGTGTTACTTTCACCAGAGCCGGCCCGAGCCTTTTGGGGGCCCTAAGCAGAATTTGATTTGGGGGCCCCTCCCACGACGCAGATCTTCACCCGTGCTCGCGGGTGAAAACGTAAAAATATTTTATCGGATGTGCCTTTCGTTTACACGGCGATGGCGTTTTTGAGGCTCAAAAAAGCAAAAAAAGTGAAACCACCCTCCAGAGTGGAAATCTTAAATCTTACCCGTGTAAACGGTAAAAACGCAAAAGTTTGCTTGACGGTGAAAGTTGTACGCAGGCGCGTGGACTTGGTGTTGTTGTAGTATGCACTCCTAGCCGCCTGAAGTGCATACTACATTGAATTTCACACACTTTTGCGTCTCCATTTGCACGCGGATTTCTCACACAAAACGCTCGTCTAAACGCAGAATAAAAAAAAAAGATGACGCAACGCCACTTTTGCATTCTCATCACAATCGTTTCCGTGTTTAGCCTCAGTTGGGCACTTTCAAGCCTATGCTTCCAAATGTAGTGCCTTCCGCCATTGCCTCCGGTGCTCCTCGTCTGTGGTGGGTGTAGCTAAATCGTAAAGTGCACCACAACAACAATCTGACCGCCTCACATTATGTTCGTTACACCGTTGGTCCAATTGTTCTCTCCTCTTAATCCAACTGTTATGGCAGCACCTAACTGAACATTTAATACTTGACATATTTTACCGTTCGTTTCAACTAGCGCAGAATCTCATCCCTCTCATGAGCCGGAAGTTGAAGTCTTTCTCAGACGGGAGTAAGATGACAAAACGAACGCAATGGCGTCACCCTTGTTGTCGTGCAAAATAAGGTGAATAGAAGAAAACTGTTTCCAAACCTCGAACTGTTCTCTTTGCTTGGGGAATGCTGTAATTTTAAAGTATTTTTCTCGCGCTTGAAGCAACCCAGCTAACAATTTTTGGTTCCCAGAACGTTCTCAGAACGTTAGTTTTTGGTTCTCAGAACGTTACTTTTTGTGGTTTGTTTTTGGTTAGCTGGGAAAGTTTTCTTAACGTTCCCAGAACGTTAGATTTTGGTTCCCAGAACGTTCTCAGAACGTTGTTTTTTGGTTCTCAGAAAGTTAGTTTTTGGTTCCCAGAAGAGTGGTTTTTGGTTCCAGAACGTTCTCAGAACGTTAGTTTTTGGTTCTCAGAAAGTTAGTTTTTGGTTCCCAGAACAGTGTTTTTTGGTTCCCAGAACGTTCTCAGAACGTTAGTTTTTGGTTCTCAGAACGTTATTTTTTATGGTTTGTTTTTGGTTAGCTGGGAAAGTTTTCTTAATGTTCTCAGAACGTTAGATTTTGGTTCCCAGAACGTTCTCAGAACATTAGTTTTTGGTTATCATAACGTTAGTTTTTGGTTACCAGAAAGTTCGTTTTTGGTTCCCAGAACATTAATTTTTTATGGTTTGTTTTTAGTTAGACAATAGTTTTCTTTATGTTCAACAACAATTCATCTTTTTTTTTTTACTTCAATAAAATACAACAGTAAATCTATATAAATAATAAACCTGTACAGTCCATGTTTTTGTCGATTCATTGTTTAATTGTTGATTAAAAACAGACAAAAAAACACAATTATATAGGCTTAGGCTGTGCATCACATTCAAAACAGGCAAAACGAAAAGGTGAAACGAAAACAATTGTAGATCCTGCACTTGAAAGCCTCATCCATCTTCATCCATCTTCACCACAGTCATCTGTAAGAATAACAAATAGTAACATTATTACAAAGAAAAGTAAAAAAAATATATATTCTTTAATCAGTCACTGCCATTTAAGTGAAATGACTGAACCTTAAAGGAACACTCCGACTTTTTGGGACTTTAGCCTATTCACCTCATCCCCCATAGTTAGATAAGTCCATACATACCTTTTTCATCTCCGTGCGTGCTATAAGTCTGTTTGACGCACCCACCGCTAGCCTAGCTTAGCACAAAGACTGGATGTGAATGGTTGCAGCTTTCATACTAATCCAAATGAGTGACAAAATAACGCAAACGTTTTCCTATTTACATGTTGTGGTTTGTATAGTCACAGACTGTGTATACCTGCATTTTTTTGTGGTTTTTTATGTATTTATGTATAATATGTGTGCTAAACAAAAGTGTATATAGTTTCTCATTGATAATTGTCTTGAGATATTCACATTTATTCACATTTATAAACTTATTATTATAATCTCCTAAAGTCTTAGAATTTTTATGTTTTCAAGTTCATGATTATTTTTTATTTAATTTTGTAATACATGTTTATAAAAATACATGTTCACGGTTTTTATATGTAGATACATTTTTTTGCATACATTTAATTTATTGTAATGATTTTATATTCATACAATCAATTGTTTTAATTTTTTTAAATAATTACTATTCAGGTCAATGTGAACAATAAACAATGTCAGTTTCTCATGATATTTAATTAGTATATGATCATATATGTCCTATTTACATTTATTAAATTATTACAGGCTAATCTCTTTAGTTTTAGAATCTTTATCTTCATGGTTATCTTCATGGTTTCAAACTGCAATTTTGAAATTTTTTTATAAATATATTTAAAATATATGTGCATGGCTTTTCGTGGCATTAAAATTTTGTGCATACATTACATTTATTGTAGTAATCTTCATACGATTCTTATGTTTTGGAAAAAATAAACAACATAGAAGATATTTTTTGTAGACTTATTTGTGTACAGGCATATCGGGATGTAGAGGTTTGGAGAACGTTCCGGGAACCTTTAGGGAACGTTCCCGAAATGTGAATAGATCACAATGTAGACTGAGGAATAAACCGAGTCCTCAGTCTTCACTCATGTCGGTTTCGCAAATGTAAACAGACACATAGGGATCACACTTGGATGTTGGATCGTCTGAATATTACCTTTCTGCTCGTCTCCTCAGATCTCTTAACTTTTGTGCCATGCAGACCTTGATCTCAGTGCCTCCGATGCCTGGGTGCCTCTTTTTGACATAGTCTGTAAGAAATGAGATTGATTACATTAAAATTTGAAAACAAGTTTGTCATGACGTGACATAACTGCCAGATTCAAACTGTGCTTTCCAAGCTATGGCTGTCGCTGACAGACGCGCTCAGCGCTTGTCATATAATAACTATTGATAAAAGATATTCAGACATGCTTACCAATTATTAGCTGCACCTTTTGTAGGTCAAGGCTCTTTTTTCACCAACAACCCCTTTTTTTCCGTTCATGTTGCCATCTCTTTGAAAGACAAGATGGAGTTCATAAGAGTTCTGGTTAACTTTTTGTAACCCTTACATCTCTGAGCATGATCCAAACCAACTGGGTTCATTAAGTCAGTCACAAACTTGTTCTGCAAAGCAAAAAATAAGATAGAAAATTTTCGTCAGGACAGAAACTGTGATCTTTTCAACGTTATTGCATATTAGATGAGGTTTTCACGTTGGAGCTGTGTGTGTTAATTTTAGCATACAAGTATTTATTGTTCATGCTCGAGTCTTGTTACTCTTTTACCTTCATAGGTATTCCAGAGTTTAGGGGTAAAATGCGAGAAATCTCCTTTAGTGGACTTTTATGTTGGGCACTACTCACTGATCTATATAAACGACTTGATTGCTCACGACGTCATGTAAATTGAAGTCACCATATTCAATTGAATTAATAGGAAATTATTATCAATGTTAAAAACAGTTATGCTGATTAATGCGTTTGTGTAAACCATTGTAACAGTTTAAACCATTTTTTCCCCTCCAAGATTCATTGTTAAATAGACCACAAACATATGAAGGGTAGTTTACGCTAATGTTCAAACATTTGGGGTCAATGATAGATTTAAAAATTAATAGAACAAAAAAAGAAGAAATTTTTACTCAGCAAGGATGCATTACATTAACAAATATATTCAAATAAATGCTGTTATTTAAACCTTTCTATTCATCAAATAATCCTGAAAAACACAAAAATATGAAGCAGCACAACTGTTTTCAACACTGATAATAATCATAAATGTTTTTTTATTTATTGCGCTTCTTCGGCTCACCTGTGTCCTAACGTTACTTCTCCGTCAGCAGCTTTCTTCAGAAATGTTGAAGTAGCTTTCTCTCTGTTATGGGTTATTTCGTTACTACTGAAATCACAGAACATTTAATCAAAATGTGTTTAACGTTACCATTGAGCTGACGTTAGTTTCGGCCAATTGCTCCTGAAAGTCCTGAAACATCACCGATACGTTACGTTTACGTTAAATAAATTAGTTCACTGTAAACCCTTACAAAACCTCTCATTTACACATAAGAGGTGATTAAAAGAAACTTTAATAAATAAAAGTTCAACCGAGTTAACGTGGATGTTAGTTAGCCTTGCTAACGTTAGCTGCTACCTCTTTAGCCTTGCTAAGTTACCTCTACGGACTTTTTCCGAAGACTACACCATGTCGATAAAGTAAATTTTTAACAGAATCGTGTCAATTGCAAGTAGGAGAAATGTCGAAAACAGTTGTGAGTATTATTCGTGTGCTTTTAGAGAGTAATCTCACCTGAAAAAAGCCGTGAAAAGTTGAAACAACAGCGAGAGAGGGAGTTTTGTTGTTTACCAGTAGCAGTGGTCCCGCGCCGTTTCCATGGCAACTCTGCGCGCCGGCCGCTCCAGTGTTTGAGAGACTCGAAAGTTCACGTGCACGGCATTAATGATTAACCACGTCAAAATCATGCAGCACGTAAATATATACATACAATAAAGATGTCCTGAAAGTGCTTTGTAAATAGAATATGAAAGCAGCAGCCTATTGATTATATCAAATAACATTATTGTCGTTGAATATTCAACTGTAAACCTGGACTTTCACAGAGAGCTTTGGTTATTATATTAAACCTATAAATAACCTGCAGGGAACGTTCTGGAAAGGTTCTCTTTAGGTTACAAAATTAAACCTAAAAATAACCTGCAGGGAACGTTCCCGGAACGTTCTCTTTAGGTTATAAAATTAAACCCAAAAATAACCAGCAGGGAACGTTCCCGGAACGTTCTCTTTAGGTTATAAAATTAAATCTAAAAATAACCTGCAGGGAACGTTCCCGGAACGTTCTCTTTAGGTTATTAAAAAAAAAAACCTACAGAGAACGTTCTTAGAACGTTCTTATTTGGTTCCCAAAAAAATAACCAAATGGGAACCATATGGGAACGTTAGGGGAACGTTCTGTGTTTACTGGGAATACACTAACGTTATTGGTTGCACCTCCATTACGTCACCACATTTGTTGTGTTTATGGTTGTGAGTGGTGAATTTCAAACCTCAAAATGCCCCCTTTTCTCGCAGCTTGTTTGTTTGCGGAAGGACTTATTCACTCAAACCACAAACCTCGGTATGACGCGTTGCAAGTGAATCTATTTAATTTTGTGAATAAATATGATGCAGCTGGACTCTTCAACAAGGAAGGATAACCTGCTGACAATAACACGGGAAAGCCCGGTGGTTTTGCGACCACTCGTTTCACATCATGCATGCCCAAAGAATTAACTCTGCCAAAACCGTGATGTCATTGTCCATCTCAGTTCAGATCTCATATAATGGTGTCAATGCAGGCAGTTCAATAACATTGTTGAATATTAAATAAAAATGTCCCCAACTAAGCAAAGCCAATGGCGACAAATGTTGTTGTCTGCAATTGGTAAAACTTCACAATAAAAATTTAGATATTCTGAAATGTTTCCCTGTATTTTTTATTTCATTAAATATTCAGATGTTTTTGTGAACGTATATTCATGGTGTTTATTTATTTGTCCTGTTTTTATAAAAGAATATTTGATTAGGATACTTTTTTTCATACAGTGGTTTTAAGGCCCCACAGGCGACATAAGCCAACCCTAGAGTTGGCTTTAGTCATTGCTAGTTCTAGTTCTGGTTTTCTGTTTCAGGGCCTTAAGAATTTATTTATTTTTCTGTACAAAAAACTTGTTTGCTGTAGACCAGAGATAATTTTCAATCCTGAAGTCCTCTGCCACTCCTCCCTCCGAGAACAGCCAGCACCCTTAGTGTCAGTCATTAACATATGAAAGGTCTTCTTCACACCTCTCACACCCAGCAGTGTTTCAGCTGTATATGTCCGTGAAATTTCACGGATTCCTGTATATGCCCGCTTAGGTGAGGTTTCCGGGTTTGTCTGGAAATATACTGTTCCGTGTTACTCTAATCCGCTTTTTCCCACATACATCCAGCAAACATCAAATTGCACAGGAGTTTACCATGCCCGGATATTGCCGGATTTGAGTCTTTTCATGCAGTGAGAGTCATCTGTGTTTGACGATTATTGACACAAATGTCACGCAATAATGATACATTATAAATGAATACACTTAGGTTATGTATTAGGCTACAACAAAATTAATACTTAATAAAAAAAAAATAGATGCCTACTTAAATAAAAAAAGTTTTAACAGCCTTAAAACTGTCTCAAAACATATAAAAGAAATTATTTGCTAAAAATATGACAAAACTGGGAATAAGAGCAAGCCTTCAACAAGCCTATTGTTGAAAACTAAAAATATTTGGCCTACTATTTCTCAACTGTCTCAATACAGTGTAACTGTCCTCAAAAGCTTTATTATTATTATTATTATTATTATCGTAACAGACTTTGTTAGATATTACATGACATAATCCAACAAAGTCTGTTACTATAAAACCGGTTATGATGTTCTGGCGCTCGTTGTATGTGTGTATGCAATGTATTTTCCCCTCGGGGCTTGCCGTAGATGTGTCGTGTGTAGACTGCGCACTTGGTAGGGTACTGGAGTGTTGCGGGTGTTTGGAGGTCTGATGTGTGGTATAATAAAGTGGAGAAGAGTTCAAACTGCTATTTTTTATTATTTATTCAAACTGCTACCCTTACCTTGAAGGTTAAGTTCCCCTGCGGGCTGTTTTCTCCAATACCGATACCGTGACTAGGCGCAGCTGCGCACAAATTGTCTATGCACACGCGAGGTGTCTAGAGGATTATGCGCATGACTTAAATGCAGGCAGACACAGCAGCAGTTGTAACTTAGGCAGGTATATTGATCATTAAATCAGAGTTTTGTTGTCGTGAATGATTCATTCAGTCATATTCATTCATTCATTGATTTATGCACTTGTTTAAGTAATCTACAATTATTTTTTTTTTAAATAACCCCGATTAGGGGCGGCCACTTAGTTCGCTTATGCCTCGGGCCGGCTCTGACTTTCACTTTGATTTGCGATAGATTGCGGCGCGCTGGCTTGATGAAGGGGCTCAGCTCAGCTGCTCATCTGAGTTGATGCACGTCGTCATATATGACTAAAATAACATGACATAGCTTGGTTTCAACAACCAGATGCATTTACACTTGTCCAGTTTCGTCTGGAATGCGGCCCAGACCACGTCCTCAAGTGGTTTGAGCGATCGGATTCAAATCCATCTCTAATGCGTTTCGGAGGGCATTTACACCCTGATCTTTTCACGATCGAATAGCTATCCGATCACAGAAAACGCATGAAGTGACCAGGTGTAAACAGCCCCTTTGAATCCATCGTCTACTTTTGTGGAAAGCTGACTATTGTGTCGCTCTCGAGTTGTCTTCTCTGATACGGAGAACGGTGGCGAATAGCTACACGAACCTGCCAGACATAAGCCTTGTTTATACTCGACGCGTCCGCAAGAGCGCGAAGGGCGCGCGCCAAAAATGACGTCATTGCGGTGTGGGCGGTCGTGCGCGTAGGGTCCGCAAGACCCCATTGCGCCTGGTGGTGTGCACGGCACTTTTTGTAACTTTGTGCGCGGCGCCGCATCCAAAGATGGACGACTAGGAGCCGAATCTGGCCGAACTGGTGGTACGATCTGTACCAGCATGTTTATGATCCTTCTGATACACAGAGACATTTGCATTGATGGGCGACCACAACATCTCATTTTGTGAACAGGAACACATTTGCATTAAGCACCTAGTTCGCACTTGTCTAAAGTAATTGGTTACATCTACAAAATAAGCCTGCAATAGCAGAATTCAGCCCTGCTGGTAAAATTAAGGTTTAAACACTCTCCAACAAGGCTTCAGTTGTTTAACTAGTTTACATGCAGTGAAAGTAGGCTACAATAAACCTACTACATTTACTCTTTTATGAATTAGCAATTAATACTACTAATAAACAGCAAACTACTTCTTCACTGCTGATTCCTGGTGGTTTAGAGGAGAGTTACTCCGAGTTCGCCCCCTGTCGTTTCACAGAATAGCACAACGGCGAGCGCGTCAAGTATAAATGCCTCGTGCGTTTGGAGAGGTGCGCGCGCAGGCAGCGGAGACTCGCGCTCTTGCGGACGCGTCGAGTATAAACAAGGCTATAGCCAGGCGAGCGTGAACGCGCATGATGTCACGCCCAGTCTCAGAATCGAGCCCGAATCCCTCTTATATATTTCACTGTGCGAAGAGGCGATCGTAGTGATCAAAGAAGGGCTCATTCAGCTCATCAGGCGATTGTTTAAAGGGGGGGTTGACTGTTTTTTTTTTCTTTGCATGATTGTATTTATGCATCGGTGGTGCAATATGACATGTATTCGTGTTTTTTCTTTTTTTAAAAGTCTTATTTTTCATAAACTTCACCTTTATTGTCAGCCGCGCTCTCCTCTGTCCCCTGAACGAGCAGTTCACTTCCTGATTCTATGAAAACACTCCCTCAGAAACACGTAGTGGGCTCAGATTGGTTAGTTTGGCCTGGTGGGTTGTGATTGGCTAAACTGTCGCTCACGTTGTCTGGAAAGTTAACGGCCATTACCTTTACGGGCGTAACGTGCATGTCATGAGCTCCGGTCCAGATATGTGTCGAACTGCAGTATCAGTTTGAGGCAAAATCAGACCGATAGGGCTGTTCGATTCCGTATTTTTTGGAATCGATTCCGACTCCGATTCCTGGTTCTGGAATCGAAAAGAATCAATTCCAGAATCGATTCCTCAGTTGTTGTTTTTTTATACCAACCATGTCTTACCAAAGTTAAGTTCCACACAGTGACAAACTTTCTATGTCGGGCGTGACAAAGCGACCGTTGCGAATCCAGTTGTCCTTCTTATTAGATTATTGCGAGTGCTGCATGTTCATAAATATAACGAGGCATTTACTTCCATGCATGAAAATGAGTCTGGGGTGAAATAGGTTAAGGATATTACTAGGGGGGTCCGGTGGCATGTTCCCGTGAGAAAATTCTAAATATTCCATATTTTAAAGCATCAATCTGATGCATTTTTTGCAAACATGGGGAGAGAAACTTAACTTCAGCCATGGGTCAAAATATGGCCTCCGTAAAGCGTATGCTGTGTTCAGTGATCGTCAATTTTACCAGCGCAGTAAAAACAACAACAACAACAAAAAGTAGAATTTTTATAACTCTAGTGTTGAACTGACAATCACTCTTTTGTGTGTTAAACACAACCTAATTAATACAGACAACTTCATTATAGCTAAAGAAAAACAACAAATCAAAAAAAGAGAGAGATCAAGAATTATACTAGATTAGTGGATACAGTAAAACTTAGTCTAGAAAAACTATAATTGTATAAAGTCTGAACATTTAGTGGAAAAAAACATGTGGGGAACAAATAAGAGACAATATGTGTAGCACTAAATCTGGTAAACCGTTACACATTGTAAAATATACATTCATGAAAAACAAGATAAAAATCAATTTTATATATATATATATATATATATATATATATATATATATATAGTTAAGACATTTTGAAATATAACGTAGCTGTTTAGTGAGGCAGCAACATATGATAGAGAGGACAGAACAGAACAAAAAAGGCTATTAATAATCTTTCATTGCGCAAAAAGTAGCCTATAATGGTATGATTATGAAAGACTCCAATACAGTGTGGCATTTTATTTTTCATTTTATGTGAAACCATAGCTTTATCGAATCAAGTATAATAATAGTAACATTGAATCATCTTGGAGAGAGTTCTATCGTTGACTGTCGTAACCGTCGTTTGAACACTGGAGAATGACTAACAGGAAAAAGTTTAAGTGAATTTATCGCAAATTTTTGTCTAATCTCACATAACGTAGCACCACTCTTGACCTTGGAGGCATTCTTCGTCGCGTGAGTGATTGATTTTTGTCGACTGATTTCATAAATCAGATTTATTTGTCCTAAATTACAACGAGTAAGATAAAACCCTGGAACCGATTCTAAAGATTTCATTGAGTCAGTCATTACACTGATTGCCCTAAAACATACTCTGTGTCACGAATGGATCCATTTATTTAGTCTGAACTTTATTTAGTTACAGGTGACGTGATTGTGTTGACAAATGAAATCGGTGACAGGCCGCAGTTTGTGTTAAAAAAAATCTTAAAGGAGGAGTCGATTCCCCTTAATGGAATCGATTCCAACCTTTGGAATCGACTCTCAATTCCTAATGCCTCGGAATCGATTCTTTTTGGAATCGATTCCCAGCCCTACAGACAGAGAAAGCCACGATGAAGAGAGTCATAACCTCACCACATACTACAGCTCTTATTAAACATTTTTGAATGATAGTTTGTTAAATTTTTTTAACTTTATACACATTTGTTTTACACAATAGCATCTGACTGGCAACAATAGCAATTGACTGGCTACTAATGTCATACTCAAACAGCGTTGGCATGTTTACATGTTTACTTGATCAAATCGAAAATAACCTCATAAAACATACGTATATACGTGAAAAATACGTTTAAAAAACATAAGTACTTATAGAAAATTCAGGTCCATAATGTTTGTACGCGTTTGTCGTAGACACAAAATAGCATAGGCTAACTAGAAGTGGCTATAAAGCCAGCGCTGGCATTTGAAAAAAATACAAAAAAAAACAAGGCTACGTCTGGAATTATAATAATAATAATTTAATTTGTTACATTTATATAGCGCTTTTCTGGACACTCAAAGCGCTTCACATAGAAGGGGGGGATCTCCTCAACCACCACCAATGTGCAGCATCCACCTGGATGATGCGACGGCAGCCATATTGCGCCAGAACGCTCACCACACACCAGCTTACTGGTGGAGAGGAGACAGTGATGAAGCCAATTGGTGTATATGGGGATGATTAGGAGGCCATGATGGACAGAGGCCACTGGGGAGGAGACAGTGATGAAGCCAATTGGTGTATATGGGGATGATTAGGAGGCCATGATGGACAGAGGCCACTGGGCAAATTTGGCCAGGATGCCGGGGTTACACCCCTGCTCTTACGAAAGACATCCTGGGATTTTTTATGACCACAGAGAGTCAGGACCTCGGTTTAACGTCTCATCCGAAGGACGGTGCTCTTTTTGACAGCATAGTGTCCCCATCACTTTGCTGGGGCATTAGGACCCACACAGACCACAGGGTGAGCACCCCCTGCTGGCCACACTAACACCTCTACCAGCAGCAACCTGGCTTTCTCAGAAGGTCTCCCATCCAGGTACTAACCAGGCTCAGCCCTGCTTAGCTTTTAATGGGCAACCAGTCTTGGGCTACAGGGTGATATGGCTGCTGGTTGTATTATATATGCAAATACATTTAAAATTTTGACGTCTTAGCCTACTTACAGATTGTGGCCCAACAACTGCTGCCTCTTGTTTTAAAGTTAGAACTGCTTCATATTTTAGTAACAGTTTCTTGTTGAATCCGGTGTTGAATTTGAGGAGATTCTGGAAGCTGTCTTCCGTAAAATGCGCAGCACAGACAGCTAGATTATGATCGTCATTTTCAGGAACATATTCAAACATAAATTGTATCCATTGTTGAGGAAGTACAGCGTCCGTGGGAAGCTCGAAGACAGAAGACCTGACAGCTGCGTGACAGTTAGAGAAATATACATACAAGAAGTAAAATTCGATGAATCAGATCACGTAAGTCACATTGAGTTTGATCCTTGTAACCTTAACTGATCGGCTAGAAATATACAATCATATAGTCTTCTCATATAGGAGATGTGGGTCTTCTTCAGTTACATACCTACCTGAAAGGTTCATTATGTGGCTCATTGTATTCTCAGATGTGAATCACATCATTATTCATGATCATTCACACCCCCACCAATATTGCCTTTCTAAACAAAAGGTGTACATCAAATTTAAATCAATGTATTGTTTAACTCAATAAGTAGGCAGGATGATTTTCACATCATTTTGAATTAAAAACTTTAGGCTAAAAACATCCATTAGTCAAAATTCTTGTGGACACATAGTATGTGTTTTATTTTTTCAATAACCACGCATAAACGTCATTCTCTCAAAATACATACAGTACATTTTGCTCACTAATTATGATAAGCCTGTTTGTACTGAAAACAGTGTAATGACCCTTTTGCCATTAATATGTTTATAAGCTACTGAAAAAGCAGAAATGTCAGGACATGTCAAAACATCTCAAGGGCCCCAAAAACACATTGGACCCCTAAAGGTTAAACAACGCTTTAATTACCACAGCATGGTGCTTAGTACAGTATGCGGCAATAATGCTAGAGGCCTAAGTAACAAGCTTATTATTTGATAATATTTGCATTAAGCAACAAGTACATTACCGATAAGCAATTTTGCTGAAACAATGACAAGCATGTTGCTGATTCCTGGATAAGCTTACCACAGCATGTTGACAATGACATCAGATAAGCTTAAAATGTATGTTTCGACTTGGCTAGAAAGCCTTAAGAACAAGCATGTTTCCAAAAGCTTTTAGATTGTGTATGTTTTCAATAACTAGCCATTAGAACAAGGGTTTTTCAATAACATCTAGATCAGATACCCTTAAGCACAAGCTTGTTTCCAATAGCAACCAGCTAATATATACTGTTTACTATGTCTTTTAAGAGCTGCACCACAGCACAAATTATTCGTTTGCACCATGTATCGTGATTTCCTATCTACCACTGCAAACTGGTTGCGTGCTCCATAGTCCTACAAAAATAAAAGTTACTTGACTTGATAGGTTTAAACACAGCATGTGCAGCGACAAGCTGTTGCCAATGACAGTAGATAAGTAACACAAACTTGAATGGATCTGAGGTGAATTCCATGTGGGGAATAAATTCCTCTTGTTATATTCCCGATTACACTATTCCTAGTCAGATGATGCGGTTTTGCCTGACGTTTTTGATTTTGCAATTTAATTCGCTCCTGAAATACGTGAGAGCTGCTTATAATACTGCAGGAGCTTATATATGGATGTTGTGATAGGTGTCGTATTCCTATAGTAGAGATGGATTAGTGGAGAGTCAGTTAATGTGAGCTTGACTAACATGACCTGCCAGAACTAATGCTTGATATTTTTGTGTTTTATTCTTCTCTCTGTAGGCTTTGGAATTGCAATATTAGAGAGGATGGATGTTCTGCTCTGGCTTTAGCTCTGAAATCAAACCCTTCACACCTTAGGGAACTGAATCTGAGCGGGAATAAACCAGGAGACTCAGGAGTGAAGCTGCTTTCTGACCTACTGGAGCATCCTCAATGTAAACTGGAGAAACTAGAGTGAGTGATGTTATGTTATAATTCATTCGGTTCACGTGACGTCACTGTAGCTTTGCGCCGCCATCTTTGCGACCGATGGTCACCGTCTCAATAATGCCTGCAATATGTTGTGCAGTTGGCTGAAAGAACAGCTTAAAGAGGAACCCTGAACTGGTATTTTAATCTATACCAAAAGAAGAGATAAGAGAAAATCATTTATTTAAAAGACTTGAAGTCTCATGTTGCTGGTTTGTGGTTAATTATATGTCTATTATAGCCCAACTTACTCTTAGTGGCCAACATTATACAAACATACATCGACAGATAATGTTTTTTCTTCATTTTATGTGTTGGATCTGTTTAAATGCACTTTATCATGGTAAGTTATTAGATTTGGGGTTATTTTGAACATAACTGTCTGTCTGTTAGTTAATACCTAAATCTAATATTTTCTGAAGTTCATAAAGATTTTGTCTTTGTCACATGTGCTTTAGATGTTGTTTTGTGTAAGTAATGTTAGCTTTGCAGACGATCTCAGCCTTGAAATGCATATTAAAGGACGAATGTTAGTTCTGTGAACGAATGTGGCACGAATGTGCCGTCATTTACGTTATCTACTCACCTTCATGTGCAAATCCTTAAGTTTACTTTCCGTGGAAGACAAAGGGACATTTTTGAATATGTAGTCTAATGGAGACTCTTCTTGTCGATGCATTAAACATGAATGAGTAACATTAGCCGACTGGTGGCTGTCACGCAATAATAATAAAAATAATAATAAAAAAATATAATACAAGACAAAAAACATCACAAAAGTATCATAAAAGTGATCTAATACGACTCGTCTGTTATATTAATATCGTTATTTATTAATATGATAGCTTTATGTGACGAACAAACTGCAATTTAAGTCATATATTATAATCACAGAAGAGCTCTTGATAGCTTTTAATCGCAGCCAAATCATTAAAAAAGATTCGACTCAGAAGACTGTTTCATTTCGATATTTGTGATTATTAAACCTTCTCTGTAACTGAACATCTGTTCTTTCGGACAGATGACATTTTTTTATGATATTTGACTGATGTATCTGACTGTGCTGATGCAGGTGTCTCTGTGCCAGTGCTGCTGTTCGGATAAGAAAGATTCATTCATGCCAGCCGAACTGCTGCAGAAGATTCATTCATGACATCGCTTCGACTCTCATGAATGCGTGCGCTCTATGACTAATGTATTTCTATATCATGAAAGGCCAATTGAGGCAAGCCTGGGGCAGATAATAATGGACTAAAGAAAACTGTGGGTAACAAATAAGGATCGAAACCTAAAATTGAAATTTTCTCCAGGTATCTCTGTCTCTCTCTCTCTCATTCAAATAGGCAGTTTGGGTGGCCGTACGAGGCGAGTTGGTCGCAAATATGGTGGTGTTCTATTTGTAGTGACGTAGGTGGCATCTATGAATTGTGTGGTGAGAGGAATGAAGAACAAAAAGGTTCATATATTATGGTTTGAGAAGCAGCTTCTTCACTTTAGTGTCGACTACACATTTGCATTGTCTTTTGCTAATTTTTAATTAATTGCATTAAAATTCTCTATTTCTGTCAGGCCATTAAAATCTTGATACAATATAACCCTTTTTCACAGTAAACATCCTGACTAACAGATTCCCTGTTTCTATCATTTTCACTACCTTATAGTACTGCTTTAAGTGTAAAGGAGCAGCACATCACTAAAGATTTTCCAGGCAAAAGTCTTGCGGAGAGCTCTGCTGATGGATGTATAAAATAGATAAAATACAGTACATGTAATAATGTGTAATGCAAACTGAAATTGTCTTTTTATGGCACTTTTCCACTGCATCGTACAGCTCGGTATAGCCCAGTACGGTACTATAGGATTAAAATCCTGCCATGATTCAAAACTGAAAATAAAGTTCTGAAAGGTTGAAACTAAATGTTCAAAACTTCAAAATCTTACAAAAAAACGTTTTGCAAGATCGAAAAATAAGATTTGCAAGCTTGCAAAATATCATTTTTTAAAAAAAATATCTGCAAACATTGTTGTTATTTCCTTCTTCAGAACATCAACATTTTTTTACGATGTTGCGCAAACAAATTTTCAGAGTTTCAAATTTGTCAGTGTTCTCACACTGTATTAGTTTGTTTTCCAGAATTTAAACCTTGCAAATGGTGATCTGAAGACTGGTGTGTGAATGAGTGAATAACAGTTTTGTAACTCTGAAAACATAGTTTTGCAGGCTTGAAAAGTGGTTAAAAAAATAAAATCTCTTCAAACATAATTTTGTTTTTGAGTTTTCCCTCTTCAGAAGTGCAACACTCTTTTTTACGGCGTTGCACATTCATTTTTTCAGAGTTTCAAATTTGTCAGTGTTCCCCCACTGTATTTAGTTTGTTTTCCAGATTTGAAACCTTGTAAATGTTGATCTAAAAACTGGTGTGTGAATAGGTGAAAAAAGTTTTGAAACTCTGAAAACTGAGGGTAGACAGGGCGGAACTTATTACATTACATTACATTTGCACTCATTTGCAGACTATTTTTTTCAGAGCAAAGTTTACAACACCCACTTCGCGGAGATACGTCCTCACAGTTGCGAGCTTGTGACTCACGTGATTTGTGGCAGCGTTGTCACGCAACTCTGCTCTGAAACTCTGAAACGCAGACTGAGCGCAAATGAAGCATCTCGAAACTTAAAAAAAGCCTGGAGGGAGGGCCTTCTGTTCTTGGCCAATGCTTCGCTGTCTGCTGACGTACAGTCCAATCACAAGTCGCTTTTTACCGGAAACATCAGACATGGGATTGACCGACTGCTCCGCCAATGACGAAAGCGCACAGGATACGCACGCATCAGGGGCACGTTCAAGTTCAAAACGGTGCATAACGTTTTGCTACGGTTTCCTAGTTGAACGTCATGTTTCCAGGAAATGGTGTGCAACAGGGTTTGAGATATGTTTTCTCTCGTTTGGTGGGTGTGTTAGAACTGCAATCCAATCAGCAGCAACATGTATATAAAGCACGCTGTATTAAAGTGAACTCGCACAATGGGTTAAGGAAAATAATTTACAAATGTGTTCAATGCAGATCGCTATATGCAACAACTGAGGATATTAGAAGATATGTTTGTCGTTTATTGTAAAAATATAGGATATCAACATGATGTAGTTTATTATATTTTTTAGCTTCATTGCAAGTGTATGACATTTGGTATAGAAATAAAAAATGGTAAGTGCTTTTCCTAAAAATGAGGAAGAAAATAGGTTATTAAAACATTATGAACTACAAATAAAGTTAGTGTGTTAGGCTAAACAGAATGTTTTTTTGTTTTTTTTTGTCTGAATTAGGTAAGATGTGTGCTTTCAGTTTCCACAAATCCCTTCACTTGATTGGGATGTTCTCTTGTGTTCTGGGCGGCAAGTGCAGTTACTGTTACATCGGGTATATTTTCTAGTATTAAACACATATTTATACCGACTTCATCAGGCTCCGAAAATTCTTCACAAAGAACACAGAGAATGGCCTTATCGGGCTCCATAGTTGCAACTGCGTCATCAGAACGGGGTGTTCAACGCATCACCGTTTCTGTTTAAAAAACGCTGTGCAACGTTTTGTCCGGGCTGAACGCAGCCCAGGATGCAGGCTCTCTGGTCAGAAGCCAAACAAACCAAAGGTGCGACGAGACAGCGGGGGTTTACCACAGACCCCTCGCGCCGTGCTGACATATCATATGCGCGGTTCGTCAACGCAGCGCGGACGTGTTTCCTAGCAACACTAAATGAATGGTAAGCGCGGCGCGAACAATCCTCACCAGCGCTGCGCTGACCAATTTAAACAGCAGTGCAAACCATACATAGCCTAGGCCCTATATGCAAATAAATGTACAAAAAAGAAACCCCTCCTTCCTTACAAAAAATGGTTCTCTGCTGAAGTTTAGGAGTTTTTCCTTAAAGGGCACCTATTATGCCCCTTTTTACAAGATGTAATATTGGTCTCTGGTGTCCCTAGAATGTATTTGTGAAGTTTCAGCTCAAAATACCCCACAGTTAATTTATTATAACCATTTGAAAATGTCATTTTGGGGCGAGCTTAAAAATGACCTGTTTCGGAGGTATACGGCTTTAAATGCAAATGAGCTGCATATCCCCGCCCTGCCTTTGGATGAGGGCGTAACTTGATACCCATGGCAGTCGGTAAGCAGAAGGGCTAAGAGAGTGAGAGACGCGCTGTTTTGAATGTCATTCAGCATACGTTTGAATCGGAATATATAAATAGTACGAAGAGACTCCGGCAGAATAAACACAAATGAGAATGGACCAGTACGTCTCGTTATGGTTATTTGATACATTTATGTACTTTAGCGTTGCAATCGCGTTCCCTTTGAAATGATGGGCATGTGCAACACACACACACAGACACACATAAACACTAATGCTGGCGCAATGTTTTTGAAATTACATACACATTCTGTGATAAAGTTTGCTACGTACAAGCGAAATTACATTTACGCGAGGGACGGGGACCTGTGGCGTCATGTTTACTTGTCATACAGGTGCTTCTGTGGCAAATGTGAGGAGATGGCTAACATACAGAACAACAACATATATGCAGTTTTTAATACAATGTCTTTAAATATATAAACGTGTGGTTACACACTATACAAACAAGGTTTAAATTATATAGCCTACACAGACATCCTACGACGACAACAACTTTAGACGCATTTGTTGTTGAATTGGCTGACATCGACTGAAAAGACTAACTTATTTGCTCAAAAATCATAAAATACACTTACTGTTACTGGATGTGACGGTGGATCGCAAACAGTAGATGACGATCCAAAGTTGAGGATTAACTTTTAAGCCACAACAACAGGATTAACCCACAGGTCCACGACAGAGCACTTATGTTTCCAAGAGACATTACCGGCTGTCGTTGTTGAAACAATGGAGGATGATGTGTACAGATCACCGAGGGCGGGGTCTAGGCCACAACCACACTGTCAATCA